CTGCAGCAAACCCACCGCCTCAAGATCTGATATAAACAAACTAAATAATGCTCTACAGTATGCTGTGATGGAACACCAAACACCCCTGAGGAAACAGGCAGGAGTCTTTATTTATATTAAAATGGCTTATTTTGTTCAGTTTTTTCAGCTTCAGCCTGCAGGTGCTAACATTAGACCATTTAAAGTGTTAAGCCTCAGATTCTGGTCCTTTGATTTTTTTTAAAAAGTGGCAAAGATGTGAAAGGAGCAGCCATTTTTTTTTTTTTACACCTTACTGACCCTCAAAAAAATAAAATCAAATTAACTGCCACTCTCAGTCACTCATTTACAACTTCCACACCGAAGAGTGATGCTGTCTATGTGATTTGGAAATATTTAGGTGATTTGTTTTTATTTTCAAAATGATTAATTGGAATCTGGAGTTTAAAACTGATCATTTCCAGATTATTTCTTGGATTATCTTTAGGTTAGAAATAAGCTCCACGCTGTTCTACATGTCTTAAAGGAATAGTACACCCAAAACATGATTAGCCTTCATTTTCTACTCACCCCCATGCTGAACAACACTCTGGAGTACTTTTTTGATATCTCAAATGCATCTGGAGATCTGGGAGGCTTCTTGCTGTCTGCTGACATTCAAATAATGGAGGTCTATGGTGACCGAGACAAAAGGTCCATAAAAGTCCACAAAAACGTGTCAATATTCCTCCATACTGCTCGTCCAATGTATTCCAAGTGTCCTGAGTGGGTAGCATCCAGAATTTACTCGAAACTAAGTCATTTAGAATGTTTTTAGAGCATAAACAGTAGTGTATAGGATTTCCTGAAAACGCGCACATGCGCGATCACGACGCTACGGAAGCCGGCAGACCAAACCAATTCAGCTCGGCAAAGAACTCATGCTCTTCCTCAACACTGAAGTCCTCAGACATTTTTCTTTCGTTGTTTCTTTCTTTGCACAGGTAAACAGCACATTTCTTCTTCTACGCTTGCATTATTGGAAGAGCAGACGCTGAATGCGCACTTTCATCTGGTTTGGTCTGCCGGCTTCCGTAGCGTCGTGATCGCGCATGTGCGCGCTTTCAGGAAATCCTATACACTACTGTTTATGCTCTAAAAACATTCTAAATGACTTCGTTTCGAGTAAATTCTGGATGCTACCCACTCAGGACACTTGGAATACATTGGACGAGCAGTATGGAGGAATATTGACACGTTTTTGTGGACTTTTATGGACCTTTCTGCCTCGGGCGCCATAGACCTCCATTATTTGAATGTCAGCAGACAGCAAGAAGCCTCCCAGATCTCCAGATGCATTTGAGATATCAAAAAAGTACTCCAGAGTGTTGTTCAGCATGGGGGTGAGTAGAAAATGAAGGCTAATCATGTTTTGGGTGTACTATTCCTTTAAATTGCAATGTTCAAAATTAGGTAAAATATACACACAGTTAGTTAGTAATCCAACGATTTGAGGTTTGAAATGATAAACAACCATCCAGAAACCACAACGTGAATGTGTCACCTACATGGAGTCGGGGGTCCTGCCAGAAAACAGGTGAACAAGAAGGCCAGCCTCATCAACTGTCTGCCTTCACCAACACTGAGAAGAACCAGTCTGATTTTCTTGCTTTGGACCACAGTTTGTCGACAACATAAAAAAGAACCCCGAGACAAACCCATGAGTGAGGAGTGTGGGAATAAATGGTTCTGATAAAAAATTAATGGCCCCCCCTTCACCCTTATTGATGGCGGTGGAATCGGCATCCTTCGCTGCGCTCGGCTGCTGTAATAACGCCAGTCGCTCTGTGCAGGAAAGCAGCTCCATCAACCTCACGCTCTGAGCAGAAAGAGGCTCATAACAAGGAAAGCACGGATTAACCAACTACACAATCATTAAACCCCCCTTAATCTAAGCCAAACGGCCTCTTAACGTTATATTACACTGAACTGAAAGCATGAAACATCAACAATTAGCCAGAACATACAAAAACCACTGAGATGCAGAGAAAATTAAAGGAAGTCTGTGTTCATCATTTAATACTCTTCAGTTAAGGTATCTTTCCTCAAGGTTATCACACATAAACTCATACAGCTCCTTGCATAGTTACTAACCAAGTTCAAAAAGAAGTGCTGCAGCAGGAGGAGCATGATGTCCAGTGCAGGACCTGACCTCGCTTCTCACACTGATGGCATGCGATCAGACGTCATGGTGCATAATGCAGAACCCTGCAGGTCAGAACCTGCCTGGCCGGCACACAGACAATAAAGCAGGTTTATTGCCAGCTGATCTGATCCTTGTCTTCTCTGCAGACACAACATCTGCTCTTCCCTCTAAGAAGGAACCGAGGAGTTCACCCTCGTCCGCCTCCCTCCCAAGATGTTTGTACTACAACCCCACAAACAGGACTTATTAATAACTCCCTTTCAAATGCTAATTTACCTTCATACATAAATCATCGCTCTAGTGCTGGTGGGTGTTCTGAGAACGGAAGGGGGGGGGGGGATACAAACTGCCTCAAGGAAAAAAGGCATAATCCCAAAACTTGCTTTCAAAATAAAAGCCTGGTTTCTGACTAACGTGTGTTTTTAACATCATTCTCTAACGTAATGCAACCAAAACAGGTCAGATCTGTTTCATCTGTGAGGATTCCAGTTGAGATGTGTACCAGAGACTGCACCTTACCTGCACTACCTCAGCCTGGAACAAACTATTGCTGCTGTTTTTATTGTAATGTTTATATTTCATACTTATATTTATCTTACCACTCTTACCTGTCATGTCCCGCACTTTATGTTAGTTTTTAAATGTCAGTCTTGTATATTTCTTGTATATTTGTATATTGCAGAGAGTAAACGTAATTTCATTTCCCTTGTATGTCTTGTACATATGTAGAAAATGACAATAAAAGCTGACTTGACTTGACTTGATAAATAACTTCACAGCTGTTTACATCTTCACTGTGGTCGTCTAGCGCACGATTAATGTCAGAAGATATGGGAAATTCTTGCTGATGGGGGAGCCAGAAAGCAGAGCAGCCCACCAACCTGTTGCTTCTTGGGGATGCCATGCTGTGTGACGCACCCTCTCCTCTGATGAATGCATTTTTTTTAGACTGAAAGGAAAGATTTCACCTTTGGGTTTTTTTTTGTTTTTTTAAACAAAAGACCTTAAAGGAGAAAAGTTGTTACTGTGGCACATTTGGGTGTTTGCAGGGGTTACTTCACCATCAGTCTATTGACCCGACCATAAGGATGTGAAAGGAGCCAGAAAAAAATGATAATCAATTTAGTCATCTTTTTTACAGCAGCAGAATCACATACGGGAAAATAAATGTAAAATCAAAATATTAGTAGATGGCTAAGTTTTGAAAAAAATCCATGTTAAAAAATAGCATTTAAAGAACCAAATCTCATAATGGAAGAAGGTTGATTTGGTGTCAGGTGAACCAGTTCTGTGTTGGTTCATATGTTTAGTATCATAGTAACATTTTTTGGCAAAGATTGTCAATGTTTATTAAAAATCTCCTGGACCAGTAAAGAGTTCATGATAACAAGCGCTCTAACAGGTTTCCCTCAGCCCACATCACGCCAGATCCTCCACCGTACAATAACAGTAGGCCTGAGCATCGCAGCAGGTCAACAATACCAGTTACCATCCCAGCAAAGAGCAGCAAACTCCATAAGTTTATGTTTGTGATGATAATACAGAAGGTTTTTTTTAAAATAAGTTTGACAGTTGTTTGAATAAGTAGATGGTGATCATGGAGATTTGGCGACCCCCACAAAACACGCTCCTTTGCAATCATTTCCTAACAGAGGGCGTTGAGCACGCTGTCCGTGTATGGCTGTTAAATAAACAGTGATCCTCAGCTAGCCACGGGTTGCTTCAAACTTCTGGATCCTTCCTCACTGTAGCAATGAACAAAGCTGTTAAATTGATGCCTTTGTCTGACTTTTGACTTGTAAACATCTACGTCTTCTAGTCTTTCCCAATATACACAGAGGCTAAGAGAAAATGTTAATAAAAGAATTTAATATAATTTCGCTACATATCATAATCTGATGTTTAGTGCAGAAAAAAAATCTAATTAATGGATCATTGAAATAATCTGCAAATAATTTCTTAATCGTGAATTTCTTAACTTGAGTAAGCGACTAACAGCTGAAAGAGCAATCCACACAAACATGACATTTTAGATACAAGATTAAAAAAAAACTTTTTTATCCATTAATATGCTCTAATATGTACAGAAGAGGATTAGGGCCACTGAAAAAAATGGAAAATTAACTGATTTTTAAATTTTATTTCTGTATAAGAAAAAGTCAGAATGCTAACTTTAATCTCTGACTTTTTTCTCAGAATTCTGAGATTAAAGTCAAAATTTGGAGAAAAAATTCAGAATTCTGAGATTAAAGTCAGACATCTGGAATTAAGGTCAGAATTCTGACTTTAATCTCTGACTTTTTTTTAAATCAGAATTCCGACTCTTTCCCATATTAAACTGAAATAAAATTTTAAAATCAGTTAACTTTTTTTATTTTTTTCAGTGGACCTAATCCTCTTCCCTAAATAAGCAAGTTTAGCTGCACTATTTAAATTCTGCGTAAAAAGACTTTGCCAATTATTACTTAATTAAAAAAAGAGATCAATCCATTAGTAAAAGTAGTCTTTAGTTGCAGCCCTAGTGATTCTATAATGAAATAATGTTTCTAAGGAGTTATGCATCTTTAACAGAAGTCCCACTGCATATGCATGAACTGATTTTATTTTTAAAGCTGTTTTCAGTTATGTTTTTCCGCCACAGGACTTAGTCTCAAATGGTTAAAAATGTTCATCATGAACTTTCTTCTTCATAATTAAGGAGCTGCAGATAAGATTAAATAAATAAACAACCGCTGGCCAGATGTGCATGCATGCATGTGCATCTGGCCAGCAGTTGCGTGCTGCCCTACCCACCTCCCCTCTCCTCTAAGGACTTAGGGTATGCATGGCTTGTTACCTGCCAGGAGCTGGAGGGGATCTCTGCAAACTTGCCCAGCCCACCGAAGGTGTAGCACCGGTACATGTGATCCAGAGACTCGGAGCAGTGCCACAGCAAGCCGAAGCTCACAGAGTCCTGGGAGCTGTGGTGCTGATGCTGCAGCTGGCCGCTCCTCAGCTGCTCCTTAACGATCCAGGCGGGGGAGATGAAGCTGAAGCTGCAGACCGCCACCAGGGCGGAGGACAGGAGCACCCAGAAGCAGCCAACGCAGCTGAACATGGTGGCAGCGGCTGGGGGCGAGGAACCCGAGGACAGACCCAGACCTTCTTTCTTCTCCCGGCCCAGGAGCCAATGCATTTGGAGCTCACCGCCTTCAGGAGCGACACTCTAACTTGTCCTCCTCTCCCTGTCCAGCACTACATGAGCAACAAGCAGGACATCAGTGGACACCAGTGGACATCAGTGGCTGCAGTCCTCCAGGACATCTGCTCTGCCAAGATCCAAGCCGCTGGGAAAAAACAAATCCTAAGACGCAGTAAAGTCAGGTGTTCCGCTCGCCCAGGCTGCCCACAGAGTGGAATGTGACACTCGGGGAGTTTTCACAGTCCACAGCTGGAAGCGCAGCAGAGAAAACACGTGAAGTGGGAGAAGCGCTCCCCACTGTCCACTCCGGGATGCTCCCTCTGCCTCAGGACCCACAGACAGCGCCTTACTTCGCCCCACAGTGCCAACTACGTCAAGTCAGCGCATCTTGAGTTCAACTTCCGCTTTGGACCTTCAAAGTAAAATCCTCATTGATAAACTGGCGGAAGGTCCAGGCTTTTCAGAATTAAAGCTGCAACTCATGGCTTCAATGTATATTTTTAATCAGCTGAAGGTCATCACACCCTTTAATAGTGTTTTCACAAGTTTGTTGTAAATTAAATAAGATAAACTATTTCCTTAACACACACACACATCTTTAGGGCCATCACAAAAGGCAAAAAGCAACAAAGTAGTTTTTTTCTTACTTTTGAAAGACGTTTTGTCCTTCAAACTATTTTATCTGTAAAGTTTTGTCAACACATTTGAATCATATTGAAGAATGAAATTTGAGTAAATGTGTAAATAAAAAAATAAAAAACTTAAAAGTTAATGACTTTACTTGGACTAGAAAGCCAAAATTATCTTCTTCAATACATTCTGTAAGAAATATATTTTTTTTTTAGTCCAGTGACTGCTGCATGGCGATTACTCTTTTACATCTAATGAAAATAATCACCAAATAGAGACTTATGAGCCAACCAGATAGCTCAACCATGGATGCAACAACACGCAAAGGAGAATCCCAAATCTATGGTTGACAACAAGCAAATAGGTATTACAGGGGATACAGGCAGAATAAGCACATTTATATGGAAAATAATCACCAGTTAAAGTTCCGAAGTCAACCATTTTCATAATAATGAAAATAATAATTGAACTTTATTGATCTCACATTGGAGAAATGTACCTCTGCATTTAACCCATCCCCTTGGGGAGCAGTGGGCTGCCATCATGGGGAGCAGTGTGGGGTTAAGGGTCTTTGCTCAGAGGCAGTCTGTGGGAGTTTGGCTCGAACTCAGAACCTCAGAACTCCAAGCTCTATGCCCTGACCACTAGACCACCACATCCCCATTATTGTGCTTCGTCTCACCTTGGCTGTATCCATCAGGGCTTGGGTTCAATGGGATCAAAGTCTCAGAGAGGCAGCATTTAGTTCCTATGCTCCACTTATGACTTAAGACTTTATTGTCATTTTATACACACAGAGTGTATACAAAAAGAAAATCAATTCAGTACAGCTCTCAAGACATTTTCATTTTTAAAGTGCAGCAGTGATAAAATGTAAACATAAGGCTGGTATATGATATACAGTCCAGTTTACAGTCTTCTGGAACTTTGTTGTGCCGAAAGCTTTAGTTCTATTAAATCAAAGTTAAAAACTAATTTATTCAGAACTATATTTGACTGTTAAACTGATAATTCAGTTATCAGTTTAAGTTTGTAGTCCAACAGTTTTTTTTATTTGCTCTGATACCTGATTTTATCTTTACTTGTTTTTATTTTGCTTCCATGTGAATGTTTATAAGAAATTGTGCTATATAAAAAAAAAACTCATTAAAAGCTGAAGAGAGAGCCGTAAACAAAATCTGTTACCGGTAATAGTTTCTTATTTGCCATCTGATCGGCCCAATTCTGGCCTACATACAGTACTTTAATAGACAGCTGCAAACTAACAAATGAAGAAAAAACTAAATAGTATGTTAAAAATACCATTAAAAAAATTCATGCTGTTAACATGTTTTGCCATTCCCAGATATGATGAGGGGACGATTGTACATTTTGTGTCTATTCTTATATTGAAAAACCTCTAAAATAGCAAACATGCCAGCGAACACATACCTACTTTTTAACATATATGGTTATTTTAAAGGTAAAAAAACAATATTTTTATATAGTCTCAGCTTAACTTAACTGCAGGTATCAGTTTGGTTTTGACTTGATGTTTGGGGAGTATCAAAAACCTAAAGGTGGGCAAAAAAAAATAGAACTAGCAACATGGAATAAATGATAGCTATGTAGTTCTGATCCTTTAGTCCATTTGGTCTTTACTTAAACTGAAATAAATTAATAAATAAAACCTAGCTGCAGAATTACTAGCCAAAGTATTTTTGCATTTTACAGGCAGGAACCCACATTGTTTACAGCACATTTTGATTAATCTGGTCACTAGATTAACCTTAAATAAATCAAACTAAAATCTCACTATACCCCAAAACAGCGCAGCCAACACTGCCCCTGTGTGGTAAGATGAGAAAATACAGGACCTGTATTTTTTTCTTAATTAACTTCAATTTCTTTTTGTAACAGCATAGCCCCCAAAAAATGTACTAATTTAAAGAATGAAACAGAAAAAATACAAGAAGTTTTATCATAATTGTATTTGAATCAAACACAGCTTAAATATATTATAGATCAAATACACATACATGTCCCAAAAAAAAAACAGTGGTACATGGTACCAAGAGTTTTTTTTTTTTCTGGTTCCTTTCCACATATAGGTAAGGCGCAAAACAAATAAAAAATAAAATTGAACAGAGCACACCTTCCAGTTTAGCAGTCTTTTATTACTGAGTCTTTTTGTCAGTAATGTTTATATCTTTATATATATTTATATAAAAACTAAGATCACCATTTAAAAAAAAGACAAACATTCATAGAAGGGATAAACCAGAATTCATATCTATATATTTATATATGTATAGAACCCTAAGGATGTGGAGTTTTCAGACATAACTGGAGTATTTCTTCTAAAGCTCTGTAAAGGTGCCTTGATATTCACTGGATCTGCTTTTTCTCTGTCTGCCTCACCTCCACAATCTTCTACAGTACACAAACAGTAAGCTTCAGTTAGTAAACCACTCCGTCACAAGGACTCGAAAACATTTCTCAGAGCTGATGGGCTCCAAGCTGCAGATCCAGGCAAGAGGAACTCATAAAAACAAGGAATGCTAAAAAAAAAGGTGCCATTTGGAGTGAATTTGAACCTGTCCTTAAGGAATCCTCCATAGGTCCAAAACGACCAACAGCCGTAGTTCCAACAGGCTGCTGCTCGTGTCTACAGGAGCGTCTTCCTCTAGTTTAATGCAAGCACCCCCATCTTGCAGCCACACATGCACTTCATAGTGTTTCAGAGATAGAAGATAGAATTTCTTCAAGTTTTGTCCCGGCCCACGCGTTGGCAATCACTCACCCACAATAACAACCGCACGCACCCAAATGTTAGGTAAATGGGGAGGTGTTTCAATTCTTTGTTCTTTGTGGGAGTAAAGCAGTGTAAATCCAGCTGACTTAGAGTCTGCAGGGATTCGCCGTCCTTTGGTTCCTCGCTGGGGTCATAGCTGCGGACGGACAGAAGACGGTGCTTAACAGCGGATCTGATCATCACACACATCCCGGCTGAGAAAGCCCAGCGAGTCTCTCTACCTTGGTGGACTTGCTGGGGCTGTCGTGGTTCGACTGGTGGACGACGTCGTTGACGATCATCTTAGCGATCTTCCACGCCATCTCCTCCTGAGCCTTAATGAGAAAATGTAAAAAATAAAAGACATGAATAGAAAAAAGTAAACTGTGGAAGCAGAGTGAGAGCCTGAGGCGAGCCGATATGAATCATTGATGATACTTTAACAGCTTCTCCTCTCACCTCATCCGAGTTGCCCTGGACCCATTTCTTCATTGCTTGAGAAAACATGGAACCTTGAAAGGAAAGGAAAACATTTACCATTACCTCAAACCCTTGCTTTTTAGGACAGCAGCATTTAGGTTTTGAATTCATGTCTGGTTAGTCTGTGGAAGTTGTGGGAATCCTAAAAAGTCAGCATGCAGGCTCAGACATAAGGAGACCTTGAGAGCTTCTATTCTCGGTCACAGAGACTTTTGTTTGACTTCCGCAGCAGAAAACTGTTTTCCCACTCCAGAAAATCTCTTCAATATTTCATAGGGCTTGGAGCTGCAGGGAGCAGCCAGATAAAGTTTATATCCTCAGGCAGCAGAGAGGAGGTGCAGAATGAAGGACAAAGAGGGCAGGAAAAGAATTTGTGAGGGTCTCACCTTTTGATTTCTTCACGTCAGGTTCTGGCTCGGCCTCCCTGATAAACTGACCCAATTCGTTCACCTTTCCAAAAGTCATCTTCCTGAGAAGGCAGAGGAAAAGAGCCAATAGAGAAGATGGGATAAAAGTGAGCCTGAGTGACACCTGAGTGTCTCCATTAAACAAGGACGGAGCTACTATCTCCCCTAACAGAAGGTGAAACAACTATCATAAAACATTTTAGAGGAGTTAATGAAAAATTACAAAGTTCTTTCTCAGCTTCTGCTACAAACAGGGAGCGCTGTAAATCTTCCATTTTACCAGCGAAGTTAGAGTCTGCTGTTTAGGGCGGGGCCACTCACCCAGCATATGGCCGCTGGTAGAGCATCTCTGGATCCAAACTGGCCACGTCTACAGTGATCGCCTCATCAAAGTTTTTCAGAATCTTGATCGCTGCTTTTTTGGCTCCCTGCAGCAAAGAAGAAACATCAGCATGTACCCCAGGCTTTTAGCTAGCAGTGCGTACAGCCGTACATTGTACGGCTAATACTAAAAAAAGGAGCAATTGTTTTTCCTAAGGAAAACTTCATTCAAATGTTCAGAATCTGCCAATCCTGTAATTACGACATTAGTGGATGTTTTTTTGGAGAGTAGGCTGACCGGAAAGAAGTTATGAGAGAGGGGGAGACATGCGGCAAAGGACCACAGGTCAGATTCGAACCCGGGTCGGCCGCGTCGTGGACTAAGGCCTCCGTACATGGGTTGTGGTCACTAACCACTGCACCACCAAAGCATGCCTAGTCTCACGTAATCTTGCTAGATAAGCCTGAAACTTATAAAAGTTTATGAAAAGTCATCCAATGCCTGATAACTATGGGATTATTTTGGAGGGTTTTTTTGTTCTTTGGAACTATACTGTCTGTTAGTGATGAGTTCATGAGGTGTCATGAAGTGTTTCAACACACCTGCAAACTGTATTGATATTGTGTCCATACTGTGTCACTGAATACTGACACCTGTTGGACATTTAAAATTCCTACAGGCAGCCTTTATGACAAAACTGAGACAGATTTGATGGCCTATAATATGATTATTTAAGCCATTGTTTGCGATAATGTATTATTTCATATCTATAGGTTAAATAGAAAATGTTTGATACATAAAACATAAAAAGGGGAAAATTTAAGTGAACATGTGAATAAGGATGTTTGTGGACTAAGATTTATTTATTAATGTTTTTTCAACATAACTGATAAGGAGTTTATGAATTTGAAAGCAATCTCCAGCTTCTTCTAGAAAGAAATGTGACTTGCATAAAAATGTTTTGTTAAAGATTTATAACACTGAATTAATAAACACTGGTTTCAACCTGGAATTACTGGGAATCTCCAGCAATATTAATTTGTAGATGTTCCAGATGTTATCCTGGAATAACATCTGCAGCTCACCTGAGTCTGAGAGCTCTCGCTGGTGTTCGAGTTGGAGCGGTCGTTGTCCGCTGACCCGCCCTGACCTTGACTGCTGACGTTCACAAACTCATCCCCCCGCACTGAATTGATGAGGTCACTTAGGTATTTGTAGTAGAGGTTGCTGGACAGGAAGCCGGGCAGGTAAACCTGAGCAATTCCACAACAAGAGGAACCGTTAGAAAACAATGAAGACATAATTCCTCAGCAACAAAAGGCCAGAGTCTGACCTTCAGCTGCTATAGGATGTCCCCTCTATTCTTTGCTCTAATTACATCATTTGTCAGTGACAGAACTCCCAAACCAACAGCAGATAAAATTTGTATTTAGTAATTAAATTGAGGATATACAAAAATACCCAACAGAAAGCTGTGGAGAACTTTAAAGGAGAACTGGGCCCAGAAGAGGCCCGTTGTTACTCTGCATGAGCTGCACTGGTTCAAAGGCTTTTCATCAACAACACAACTATTATTGTGTAAAAAAACACAAAACAAAGGCAGAGAAGCAATAAGAAGCCCTGCGTTTGTTTGTCACAAGCCATAGAGAGATGGTTTAATAAAACAACAACTTTAAAACCACTGAAACTTTTAGTCACACTGTTCTTTGATATAAGTTGACGTTTTTGATTTTCATAAAGGTGAAAGAGACGAGTGCTCAGGTTGTAAGCAGCTGCAGCATTACTAATCAAAGCATGATGTATTGGACAGGTCCAGTCAAAGTCTAGATAAAAAAACATCTCAGAATCTGAAGGTTTAAGTCGTAAATATGCATTACAGTGGCATACGCGCATGTTTGAAAAATGAAATTTACACCAGATGCTCCACAGCAACGGGGCTCTGAGCAAAGACGAGCTTTTGTGACCTGGTAAGTTAATTAAACATCACTATGTGTGAAAGTTATAAAATTATGAGTAATATGTGATCAAGGTGACCAATATGATGAGAAATAACATCTTCAGTTCTTACCAGTTTTAGGCTCCTTTTTTGTTTATCAACTCACTGCCAGCTACGCTAATGGTCACTACTCACTGCACTTCCTACCCTAAATATTTACGTATTTTTTCATGTTTGGCTGCATCTGCTTAGTGAGGCTCAGCCTCTCTCCCTCTGCAAGGATTTTTTTAATAGAAGACATGATGTGACTCTGACTCCAGTTGGCTTGAATGTTTGATTCCTTTGCTAAAAAGTAAGAGGAAGGGTGGAGACTGAGGGCTGAGCTGAGGAGGACAGAGAGATTTCAGAAGAAAAGACACATCAATGCCTTCTGTTAACTTTAATAAAACCAAAAGATACATCATTTTATTTCTGCATGGATTTCAAACAGACTCACACTCCCGTCTGTTTGTATGAATATTTTAATAATACAAAATAATTCATGATTTAATTGCGTTCATTTTTTTTCTACGCATTAAAATATTTCTAATTAATGAACTGAATTTAACACATTAAAGTCTCTGCCCTAAAATAAACATAATATGAAATTAGTAGATGTAACACTTATCTTTTATATTTATCTACCTATTTATCCAGTACAATAAAAGTACAAATATATCCTCAAATTAAATGACTAACTATTAAGGATGCACGATATAATCGGCCCCCTATCGGTATCGGCCTTAAAACTGAATATCAGACATCGGCCACCCCACTGATATTTAACCCAATATTTGATCAGCTTCTGAGTTTCTAAAGTCTAAAAAAAAAAAAAAAAAAAAAAATACTACTTCTTCTTCCTCAAAAACTTCTTTTTTACAGACATAAAAACTTCTAAAGACGAGGGAAAAAATATTAATACATTAAAATATCCCAATATCTTCATATGCTGATATATTGCCATTTAAAAACACCATATGAATATAATGAAATATTGCTACATGTCATCTTTATGCTATGAAATCCCCCGAAAATTCACAAAATTCTGCCATATTTTTATATGTTGATATATTGACGCGGTATCGATCTATTTTACTAACAAAATCTCACAAGAATTTGCAAAATATCACGAGAGTTTGTAACAGAACGATGAAATTTCACGAGATTTTGAAAGTAAAATAGATCGATATCGCGTTTTTAAAAATCAATTTGATATCAGCATATGAAAATATATTTGAGTATATTATTTTTCAAAGTGTCTGAAATTGATAACAGAACTGCTATTTTCAATGACTACTTATTTTTGTCCAGCTTTAACATCAGTATTAATATCGGTTATCGGCTACATGAGTTTTAAAATATCGGCATATCGGATATCGGCCAAAATCCCAATATCGTGCATCCCTACTAATTATACATTAAAAATTTCAAATAATTAAATACCATTTAAAAGTTATATAACTACTTTATTTTTTTTTTAAGGAAGAGGTTATAGAGTGAATTATTTGCACATGTTTTTAGGGAGTGGCCAGGAGACGCCATTTTTATTTTTTAGGTCACAGACTGAAATGTTTGGGAACCTCAGCATTAGAAGATTAATACGGCTGGTAAACACAGGTTACATTATGGAAGAAAAAAAAAATCCAAGGTCAAGTTTTCAGAGTGACTTATCAGAGAGTCTGACCTTCTCCATGGTTGTCCAGGCCTGTCTGAGAGGAGTGGTGAAACAGTCGGGGAGGGGCCCCCCCTCTCGGCAGATATTGGACTCTATCTCCATCCTCACAGAGTCGCCGAAGCCCAGAGGGTTGGTGGCCTGGAGTGAGAAATACCTGGACAAAAAGAAAAAAATACAGCAACTGAGCTCTGATCTAAGCATTTTTATCCAACATCTGTGTCTATATCTTCCTTTTAAATGTCTAAAAGCCATTATGCAGATGACTTAAAAAATATTTAGCCTAGAGAATAACTGCACACAAACAATTACACATAAAAAATATTAAGTTCAATTTGGAAAAGAAAAACTTTCTAAGGTTTGGGGTGGGGAAAAAAAGGGCCTTACTTATCGTAGAGGATCATGGCGTCGTTTTGAGCCTCCTGGCCATCATACTGGCCTTTTTTAGCAGCTAACTGGTTCTGGAAGTTATCCGCAGCCAACCAGAACTGTAGTATATTCATTGCCTCTTCCTTCTCCATGTACTGCGAATGAGAGAAAATAAAACCATGAAAAATGAGCCTCAATCCTGCAACATAAAGGTCAGCTAGCGGTCTTTATTTCTTTTTACTTCCTTTTGTCCATACCCAGGATCTATTACTGCACTTCTGTGCTTTTAAGGACTAAAATATGGAGTCAACAGGAGGCATAGACTGTTATTAGTTTTTCACACCTTCATACATACAGACTCACCTCGGAGAAATAGAAGAGAGCTGACTCACAGAACAAGATGTCAGCCAGGAACACTGAGCCACTCGTTAAAACTTCAATCTGGTATTTACAGAAATGGTGGCTCCGCAGGAATTCGGTAAAGTGTCTGGAGGCGAGAGACAACCGTTACCAAGGAGGTCAAGGAGGGAACTTATCGCACAAAGAAAGAGTTCAAGAAGAAAACAAAAACTCACTGCTGTTCCAGTATGGAGAAAACAAGCGACTGTGCAATGACGAAGCAGTTTGGATCCACCATGCCATCTTCTCCACAAATCTTAGCTGAGCAGGAGAGAAATGAAATAAAAATAAATCAGCTGTTGCATTGAGAGCTACTACTGAAGCTTCGTCTTTGTGATTCTTCTTACCAACTATATCGTTTCGAATCTGTTCTGTGATGGGGATGGGCCTCGCAGCGTCTGGGGAAATGTATTTGGTGAAGATTGTAACAGCATCTTTTTCTATACCTGCAAAACACAGAAACCAAAAGCTCGTCGTCAAGAAGTACTACCAGAGAGTGCAGAGGAAAAGGAGAAATTTTACATTTCATACATTCTCCATGTATTCTACTGTCGTTTTAAATGATACGCCAGAGGAAAGGCCAAAAGAAATATAATCGTAGGGAAAAATACACAATACTCAGAAAAGAGTTGAATGCATTTCTATACAGGTCCCTTCACTCTGTAACCTGGCAGTAGCCAGATTGATATGTGTAGAACTGAGTTGAGTTCTATGTTATCAATCTGGGAATGCTGCCGTTCAGTCTGTCAGTGAAACAGAGGGATGTTCAGTACAGTACTTCGAGCTGATTGGTGACATGCCAGCTAGTACCGCCTTCCATAAACACACTTTTAGCCAAACGTAGCATCCCGATAGGATTCATCTGCAGCTTTTTGAGTGTTTTCACAACTAGCGGAATACGCTGATAAATCAAACTTTTTCAAAATCCTGTCAGAAGAAAAGCATAGACATCTTTCCATCTACAAATGCACAAAGAGCTTCTGTTGGCTCCCTTGTTAAAACAGGAAATTGTTACTATTTTAGCTAAAACTAAGTCAATTGCGGTATCAATGGGCGAGTCCACCAGCGTAGCCATGTTTGTGATGCTCCAGAAAGGCCCTTCTGTCGTAGTCGTCATTCCTACATGTCTTGTCCCAAAAAAACACAGCTGGCATTTAACGGCCGCCTCGCTGGTTGTTGCGAGATGGACCTTTAGCAGGAGTCTTTCAAGATGGATTTGTAGTAAGAGTGAAAACTCAGATCTTGTGACTATCCAGCTTGCAGTGCAACGTTAACTCTACCTCCCCTAAATAAATCCTTGCACTGCCAACTTTCCACAGAAATCATGTAATTAGTCATCTGGACCATGTGTGTAATTTAAACTTTAAACAGACATGTTAAGATTCAGCCACCGTCACAAACACTGATGTTAAGAAAATAAACACACAACCTGCTGAATTAAACATGTATCCGCAAAACCGGTTATATATGGCTGACTCACTTTTCATGAGAGTGTCTGAGAGGTCTCGCAGAGAGCTGTTTGTCATCCCCTTGGAGGGAGTACCTGTCCTGGAAGGTGGTTGTCTGCTCGGGGTCTCTGCTCGAGACGGGTTGGCCTTCTGGTCCGCCTCTCCACAGGAGGAGTCCGTCCCGTCGGACAGCAGGGAAGGGTTTCCACGGCTGCGATGAACAGCAAGATCATTGAGCGTGTTCTGGTCGAGCTCCGGTCCATCCGGAGAGGCTGAGACTGGCTCGGCCAGCGAGCTGTGTTTGACAGAGTTCAGGTTCTGCGCTCGAACGCGTGACCAGCTGGCGGAGCGGAAACTCTCCGCCTCGAGCCAGAAGCGAACCAGGTGGTCTGAGCCCAAGTGGTCCATGCAATGCATGAAGTGAGGCAATGCCATGTTGTCTCTAAGGACCTGGTCCACCGTCTTGGACATGCGAGAACGCGTCTCCTGGGGCTGATAATTCACACTGGAATGACCTGGAATAACAAAATTGTTGATAAAGTTAGGGAAGAATCTAAAAGAATGCTGTACTTTCTGCAAGATGTCGAAGCACAGCCGATTCAATTAAGCTTTTAGAAAGTAGGAGAGAGCAGGATTTTAAGCAGCTAACAGGAAGGCTGAGCAGAAGTATTTTAATCTGTCTGTCATGCTAAAGGCAGGACTGGGAGATGTTTTTTTTTAAATCTCTGTCACCATCAGGTTTCTGTGGCCGTGGCAAACAAAAGCTGCTGGTTTTGGTTAACAAATTAAAAAGAGGGGAAGGTTCCTGATCCAGCCCAGTCAAAGCAGGTAGAGAAACAGCAGAACCAGCATAACAGGTCTATTACTCTTACCGAGGTTATTGTTGTTATTCAGGAGAGCAAATCTTAGGACTAAAGCTGACAACTTCTAGTATGATCCTGAGATCAGATGTGGGATCCACTGGATCCGCACAGAGACTACAAAACCGTGTATTATGTAAAGAGTCCAGAAAGTGTGTGCATTCCCCCACTGCCAGTTATTAGACATTCAGTGCTTACCTAGGAAACCTTCGGAAAGCACTTGTTTATGGTATAACTAGTCCCAGATGGCATATTCTATTAATGACCCTTACGAGTGGTAACAAATCTGTAATATACCTAAACATCCATTTATTTTTTGTGTTATTGTAAAAATGACAATTTTGATTTATCAAACATCAATCCGTCCATCTTCTCCTGCTCATAAGTCAGGGTCGTGGGGCTGGTACCTATCTCAAGCAATCTGTGGGCAAAAGGCAGGGTTTCCAGTGTGTCGCAGGGAAAGGCAGAGACATACAACCATATGCACACACACACACTCACATATGAGGACAATTTAGAGATATGAGTTAACCCAACAGTCATGTTTTTGGTGGGAAGCTGGAGTACCCGGAGAGAACCCATGCATGTATTGGAAGAACATGCCAACTCCATACAAAAAGACCCCGGGGCCGTGAAACGTCCTAGTTATAGCCTGATAGTAATAACCTGTAGTAATGTGATATACTCAGGCTTATTTAAAAAGGCAGATGATTATTTATTAAGGTTTTGCTTTAAATGAGTAAAACCTTTTATCACAGCATCTCACTGCCATGCAAGATGTCTATTCAGTCCAAAAATACATAATGGGTATGATGGTAGGAACGCTAGAAGTAGTATACCTGATTACTTTTCTTAAACATCTTTATATCAGTAGTTGATAAAAAGGAAGTCTTAAACCGTAAAATATCAAATTCTGTCCCGAGCATCTAGCGTTTCCATATCTAGCTACGTTATTGAAACAAAGCCCGTAATTCAGAGAGAAATCAGTCCTCAAGTGAACCCATTGTGAAAACTCTGGTGGATTCCCAGGATCCTGTCAGGCAGGAGGTGGCAGTTTCATGGATGATTACACTCCCAAAAAAAAGCTTCTGTACGTTGTATAAAAGGGACCAGGGACTCCTGTCATTCACAGTTACATACAGCTGACAGAGATAACACAAAAAAAGAAATCTGGTCGTAAATTTCAGGAGCATCTGGGGTAATTTCAACAGTTTTTCTGTTGCCTAAGAAACAGACTTTGACCAGATCCTTCCATAATCTGACTCTTACCTCAACCATTTGTGTTGCTTTGAGTCTTAAATCAAAGTACTCTTGTAGGAAAATATGTTAACAATAAAAAAAAAAAAAGGAAATGATGTTTAAGCTCCTGCTGATAGTCATCTGACTACATGCCCCTAACCTGTAGTTTGACCTTTAATAGCCAGCTGTAAACCTAGAATGAACCCAATGAATTCACCTCCTCCTTTACTCTCATCCTTTCTTCTCTTTGTTACAATCACAATAAAACGAAAACAAGAGGCCTGCAGCACAGGTTCCTCCACCTCTGAGTCAGCCCAGCCCGTCTCTGACCGACCAGTTGCACAGTTCCTGTCTGCTGTTTGTCGGCCTGTCTGGAATGATGCAGCTCATCTCCTTGTCCCATATGACGACATCAAGTCACCTAATTATAGAGCAGATGTGATTTTCAAATAAAATAAAAAAGGTTGAGAAGTTGGTTCCCTGTGTCAGATCCACCTTCACCTGAGTGAGTGGGTGTGCTTCAACGATGACGTATGTTTGCCTCTGGCAGAATCATAGAAGAAAGGACATGGCTGCACAGCGGAGCACAATGTTAAAGATGCTGTTGTCATTAAGAGAAAGTTACACCAGCAATCTCCCAGGTAATCCCCTGAAACTCCTCTGCATAAACATTAGCACTGAGTTAATGATCACAGACTAGCTAATTCTTTTTGTAAAGAACCTTTTATCTTGCAAGCCTTGCACCATGTTTACACAGCAGGCAAAGTTCCCTACATTCTGCACAAGGAAATTTCAATAGCTTTTAATTCTTTTTTTAGATATTTCTAAGGCAGTTTAAACATGCCCCCTCCCAAACAGTTCAACAGAGAACTGCTGTAAATTAAATATTGCAATGAAGTGATAGACAATCAATTATTTTACTTTAAGGATTCATTTTAATTTTTTAAAACAGCAGCAGTTCCCAAACGCTTTTAGCCGCTCACCACCTTCTGTAACCCAACTGGGTTGAGGGACCCTCAATCCCCCACACCTTCAAAAAAAAAAAAAGGTAACAACCAGTTATAGTTTTGATAGTTATGGAATTCACATTTTAACTGAACTTGAATTAATTTGCAATAGAGTTACTCTAGAACAGGATAGTGAGGATTTCCAGGTGCAGCGATGTTCTAACGTTCACTTACGGCTAATTTATACTTTTGACGCATAGCCTCTGCAACCGTCAAATCTTTCTTTGGTGCGCGACCACGCCCACTGCGCAGAGGTTCTGCAACCGTCGTCGGGCACCTAAAAAAAATCCTGACTACGCGTCAGACGGTCGCAAACCTGCACAGACCTCAAGCGGAAGTGCGCAGACAAAAAGCAGCTATGATTGGTCCTTGGTATGCCTTTCCGGCTGTCTGTGGGGTCGTACTTCTCGATTCGGCGCGCCATGTTTAAAAACCAAGGAAGAACTACAATGGACAACTACGACGAAAGGTAAATCGAGGAGGTTCTGAAGTACAACCACTTGTACGATGCCTCAGACAAATTATATAAGGATGTCTCTGCCAAAATGAAGTTCTCGTGAGTTCTAGAATAGGCTCCCCCTTGCGCTTTGATGGGAAACTCCTGTGCGTCCCAAGAAATTCCAGACTGACAGCGCAGAAGTATACCAGCAAAACTGGTTTGCGACCAGACCCAAGCGACATTTGATGTGTGCGGTTGCAGAAGTCTAATCTGCCCTTTAATCCCAGCTAACCAATCTCTCCGCCTCCAACTGCTGTCATCCAAAACATCGCATAAATAAAGTAAGGTGTCTCCGTACCAAGGTCTCCGAAGTGCGCCGCCTCCATGTGGCTCGGCTGCTTCTTGAGGATGGCGGTGCGGCCCCGAGCGAAGGAGTCCATGTTGGCAGATATGGCGCTGATGGCCACATGGCTTGGCCTGGCAACATCCAAGGGGGCATTGTGGTTCCTTTGTCCGTGTGAAGGAGAAACGAGGTTGGCTGGAGCTGGAAGTGGAGATAAAATATGCATACATTTTTTGGGGAAGTAAAAACTAAACATTACAAATGACACAAAGACAACATTTTGAAAGCGGGCTGAGCAGATGATGTCACTGTAACTTTGATTGAAAAGCCTTTGATTGTGGGAGTTTTTGAAAGAGGTTACAGACTGAGGAAGACAGACTGCGGACAGACTTTGCAGTGTTTCACAAAGAATCTGTAGTTTGTATTTTGTCTGCTTTTGATCAAAAACAGACTAGATCAAAATAACTAAACCACGATAGGGTTGCAACTAATGATTATTTAGCAAAGAATTTATATGAAATTAAACAAGGTGAAAGTAAAACCTTTCCACTTGAAAGACAAAAAAAGATTTTTTTTTACCTTAAAGGCTAAATGTTTAGATTTTTTTCACAATTTTGGTATAATTGCTGCTCTAAGTGGTTTTCTCAGTCAGCTAAAGGCATGTTTTAGAGTCTCTACACTCCAGTTAACGATTGATCGATCACTAAATTAATTGACGATTTCTTCAATAATCGATCAATCACAACTAATTTGATTGTTTCAGGCCTAAACCACAACAAACCCTAAATAAATAGACTCATTGAAATCACATCTAGAAGGATCCAAGTTTTTTTTAAACTAAATCCAAGTAACAAACAATTAGCTTTTTCCTATGAGTATACAGTGCTATGCTAAAGTATTCAGTTGGATCTTATAAAATATTCTTATTAGAACTGTATATTGTAAACCAACACAGACTCAAACACATATTTTGGATCTAAACTCCTTCACTGTAACCCTAACAGTAGACATTCAACTTCGTCAGGTCAGCTTAAAGGACTATGAGGACTGACGAGGCGCAGCAGATTAAATTTCATCTCCACATGCTTCACTGCAATCAGTTTTCAATACATACTCTTATGTGAGGTCTTATAACCCCAGAGGTAAAGATGAGCTCACCTTTGTTAAGTTTAGCATCTGTTACTTTCTCAGGTTCCTTGCTTTTCGCTGTGGGGAAAAAAAGATAAAAAGAATGGATGTAAGTAAAGGTGAAAACAACCTTTAAGGACTGAGAGCAGCTAGATAATAAGCGCTGTAGGGAAAAAGGAATTGCTGTGACGGCATTAGCAAGACAGGAAAACGATATCTAGTTGGATTATGACACAGTCAGGAATCTGATACATAACATGCCAATTCAAAGCGCTGTACAGGACAAAAGAAAAGTGACATAAAGGTGGCATAAAGGTAATTATTAATTAAATGACTGATATCAAAGTATAACATTTTTCATCTTAATTTACAGCAACTTTACACACTTTGACAGTTTAGAGTCAAAGTGTATAAAGTTTAGAGGGAGTAGGTTTAGATTAGTAGAGCATAAGAACTAAAAGCTGCTTCCCCATGTTTGGCTCTGCAGAGTAGATTAGAGTGATAACACCAATGTATTTTGGTGTTAAGCTATTAAGTGAGTTATAAAGCAACATAAATAGTTTAGAGTTTTTTTTCTGAGATCTTGGGAGCCAGTATAGCCGTTTTAGAACTGGGCTGCTGATGTGTTCCACTTTCTCAGTTTTAGTGAGAACGCTGGTAGCAGCATTCTGGATCAACTGCAGCCGTCTGATCTAGTTTTTATGCAGACGTGTTAAGATACAGCAGCAGTAATCAAATTACAAAAGTCCATCCATCCATCCGTTTTCTGTCACTCTTATCCCAGACAGGTAGTGAGGGGTGTTGGTGCCTATCTCCAGCTGTCCAAGGACGAGAAGCTGGGTCCACCCGAAAGTGAGCAAAAGTGGGCGCATTAATAATTTAAGCAGCTCCTCATGAGCTTCAGAGGCACGTGACACGCTTCACAATCAGAAGATGCTGTAGTTAGAAAAACGCAATTTTTGCTGCTCAACATACCACATCAACCAATCAGAGACGCTGATCTGAGGCTGGCAGGGAGACAGAAACAACACTGCTGATACAGGTTGCTATGATCACTCCTCTGAAAACGTAAATGAATGCCTACATTAACTGAAAATTTCACAATCTGTGCCCTGCAATAGGACTGGCGACCTGTCCAGGGTATACCTCGCCTCTGGAGAACCTCTCGCGACCCAAATAGGGATAAGCATGATGGAAAATGGATGGATGTCGAAACCTGCTGGCAAAATATGTTCAGTAGTGCCTGGAAGAGGCGACAGCTCCTGAGGCAGCAGGATCATAATCTTGATCATCTGACTGCACAGAGGTTATTTTCAGGTGGTTTTCTTACTTAAAAATATATTAAAACTACATTTTACCCACTTATCTCAGCAAATATTAAAGCTTCTCTCTGCCATTAAACACAGGAGCAGCAGATGCATTAGCAGCATCTGGACACACGTTCCTGGATGCATTTCAGAAGCATCTTTTCTTTTGGTCCAAAAATGATCACTTCAATTCTATTTTTATTTAGAAGACGAAAAGTTTGCCACATCATTGTTTTGATTTCTTCTATGCACTTATTCAGTGCTTGAATGGATTCATAGTCAGCTGGTGTCATCTTAAATCTTATCTTATAGCTGTTTGTTGTTTGTATAGTTATAATCTGAATGTAATGGGCTTCATTGTAATAAACATGGAGCCCTGAATCTAAAACAGAAGTACAAAGAAGCAGGGAGGTAGTTCAGATGTTTCCTGAATTCAATCTTTTCAGAACACAATGGCATGGTGAGTAGGTAGATCAGCTATTTGGATAAGAGCTAAAGAAATACATCTACCACATCTAAGAGACTGTATCTCAATAAGATATAAAAATGAAGGAATTAACTTTTTTTTTTTTACTTGCCTACTTGAACCTTCCAACAGGCTTCCTGTTGGTTCTGATTACCACTGCTGCTCAGAGCATCCAGTCTTTTCAACGCTTCCTCTTTTTTTTGCAAAGTACTGGTGTCAGCAACTCTAACTGAGGCAACAAATGAGGAAAAGGCAACTTGTTTCACTTGTTGAGGTAGAAAGTCATACAAAAGTGTAAACTTACTGGGGTGTCATCTCTGCCCCTTAACCCTTTATAGGGTACTAAGTGAACTACTTTGAAAATTTAAATTTCAAGCCAATAGTGTTTTTGGAATCAAGGACAAGACCTTATTACCTTTGTAACATTCAAAATATATGGATATTTTGGGCAAAATTAATGTCAATGTAACAAGAAATGCCAAATTGCCTGAATATATTAAGAAAAACAACAAAAGTGCTTCTAGAAGAAATTCATGAAAAACACAGAGTAAAAGAAACACTTTTTTTGGGTACAGCATAACCTTAGAGGCATTAATGCTGGTACTGGCACTTACATTTCTTAGTTTATAAACCTAAATATGATTGTTAACTAACTTCACCTTTTAACTTTTCAATTAGCTTTTTACCTTTTTTCTTGACCCTTTTTTCCAACTTAATTTACAGTAGGTAATAGATCATTCAAGAGGTCAAGGGATCAAGGGATAACTTGCCCTGTAAAGGATTAAGTCTTGTTGGAAACAACTAAAACCAATCCGTGCTGCAACACATAGAGCAGGCTTACTAAAAAAAATAACGTGTTGGACGTTTGTAATATTTGACCAACCACAACGTTAGATAAAATGCATCATAACTGTTGTAAAGCATTTATAAACCGCTGCCTTTTGATCATCTCTATGTTAAAGACATATACTCCTCTCCATCAAGCTATTAGACATGAGACCTCTTTGATAATCATCTCTGCAATCCTGCAGGAGAGTTAGATGGGGGGCCAGGGGTGGCCATCCTTAGCCAGTCATTGGCCACCTCTGCCATTTTTCCCCCTCAAATACAGACGGTGGCAGCAGTAATACTCTCAACTGGAATATCCAAAACATTTGTTTTTTTGTGGTTAATTAAACATCAATATACTAACATCAAAGATGATAAGTAGAGAATTCCTGCTCTTTTCAGAACTAGATTTTATGTTTTATGGGGTAAAGAAAAAAATATGCGTCTCTGCAAGTCATCTAGGAGTCTTCAGTGATATCAAAGATAAAAAAATTTATAAAAACTTATCAATTTATGTACCGTAGATATTAGTGCTTGTAAATGTTATTTTTATGCAGAATAATTATTGATACAAGTAGGTGAGTAATGACAATGGAAAAGCTTCACACCCCAGAACTAAAAACTGAGTTTTATCCACTATACCTTTTATCTAGAAATTACAGTTGTTTAAATATATGCGTCTATTTGTCAGCAAAGGCTGCAGGAAAGTATAGTTTGTCTTTATTTAGAAAACATGGATGTTTTGCTTGTTCATTTTCCTGTTGGAACAGTGTAGATTGACCCTGAGGTTCTGTTGCTTGTCCATTTTCGGCCCACCCCTCAGTGGACATTGATTATTGCCTGGCCACCCTTATAAAAATTCCTGGCTACGCCTCTGGCAGGATATCTTTTCTGACAGATGATTCTGACTGAATGAAACAACGTAGTTAAAGTTAGCATGCTACATGCTTTTCAACAGATAAAGTGCGGATAACAGGAGCTGTGAGAGCTAGAAGGAGTGCCAACATGTCAGTGAGTTGCTTCAAGGCTTCTGGTGAGTTTGGCAGCTTTAATGCCAACCAGAGAAACAACAGGTTAGCTTAGCCAGAGAGGCCACCGCTAAGCTAACCGTTTCTCTGCAGTTTGCAGCGGCGGCAGGGAAACCGCTCCACTCCGGCCTCCCTGCCTGTTTTACCGCCTGTTTTATGTCATTTATCTAATCGCTGCCGGTTTATTATGGACTTCTGACGCTGCAGAGCAGCTGGTTGAGCTCCTTCCTCACCTTTCCGCTTAAAAAACGACATGACGGGTTTCACACCGTGGACACTTCCTCTGCTCACTATCACCGTCCCGTGGACGTCCCACGAATCCCGTCATTCAAACGCATCTGTTCCGTGGACTCCCGATGAGAATGCTGGTTTTAGTTTGGAAACTTCTCCGATATCTGCTGGCTGTCAAAAAAATATCATCCCCAAATCCAACCCTAGCACGGTCGCCATATTGTCAATAAATGACTTACTTCCGGGCTTCCTATGAGAGGGGCATTGTGGGAAATGAAGTACTTGCTCGCACTGACCGGAAGATGGTGCTATTTGTCAAACTTGTTAATTTGCCTTTAGAAGGGCCGCTTGCAAACGGTCATTTTTTCCATTGACAAAAAAACAACTGCTCTGTTGTTTTTAACATTACTGCCATTTATTTCGGATTAAAAGAAACCCAAAACATTATCCAAAGGTCAATCTTTTTTAAGTGAAAAAGCAAAACAACTATTAAGATTGAAACTAAGTATTTTTTAAAGAAAATTAATATTGATTATAGTAATTCAGATAAATCAATCTGCCTGTATGATATAGGTTACATAACCTCTGTAAAGGGACTTGAGAAGACATTCTGTGAATTGTTGCTAAACAAATAAACTTAATATACCTTGATTGAATATCGTGTCTATGACTAATTAATGGGTGATTCTCTGAATTCGGTGCACTTTGTGTCCCCAAAGGTTTACCTCAAAGATTTTCATATAAGGTAAACAATAAAGAAAATTTAAAAAGAACAAATGGAAAGATACACATGTCTCTGCTTTATAACACACATCTATATCCTAAAATTTTAATTTTTAAAGATTTTATGGGCTGCTGAAGATCAGAGGTGAGTGAGATGAGCATGTCCCCTCGCACCTAAAGTACTTTTTCACTGAATGTAAAACAAATAAAATAGCTAGAATAATCTAATTTTTTTCTGCTAAAATTATTATTTGCATGTTTACTCAAAGCTGAATAAAAGAAATATGAGAAAAATAAACAAATTATTGACAAAATAGCACTATTTGATCATGTCCCTCAGTTTTTGTTCAACCCCGTAACAGCATACCAATGTTCCCTTTTTTTAAATATTGGTTCAGTCCAACTTCAACCACACACAGGAAGTGACATCCCTCAACTCTTTTCCCTCTCAAACTGTGAAGAGAGGTAAGTGTAAAGCTTACTTTCTCACCTACATTTCATCGTTTTTATCAATAAATTTGCATCGTCAACCTCAACCTTTCAACACTGTTACATGTATAAATGATATTTAATATTGTTTGGGAAAAATAAAACAATTATCTTTGAAAAATACTTGAATTTCTTGTTTTCCACATGCCATAAGCTACACCATACTGCTAGCTAATGTGGACTTATAACTACTTTTGGCTTTAATCTTCAACCCTGTAACATTCAACCCCATAACAAAAAACACTGTTACGGGGTTGAATTATTGTTACGGGGTTGAAGTTTTTTCTGTTGTTAAGCAAGTTAGTCCTTTTTCTCTAAATGTTATTTCATACATTATTTTCAGATATCTGATGGCTAAATCAAATGCAGAGAGGCAAAGAGAATACAGGGTGAGAAGAAATGCAGATTCACAGAGAAGAGAAGAATACCTCAGGAAAGAGCATGAGCGATGGAAAAAAGATAGAGAAGCAAAGAAATCAATCAGCGACCTGAGTAAGAGAGCTTGAAGACGTAAGCAGAGGGAGTGGTGGAAAGCTAAGGAGCGACAGAAAAGGAAGGCTGAGATTGAAAATGTTGGGTCTGCCTCTCTAACCCCTCCACATACTCATGACTGTGATATTCAAGACAAAGTCCAAGCCAGACCAGGGTCCTCACGGTGAGGGAAATATAGTTTGAAGTATAGTTGACTTTAATGATGATAGTTTTAGAAACACTACTTTTTACTCTGCTTTATACATGACTAATATGTTTGTTGTAGTAGATCCTAAGAAATGAACATTTGTAACATGGAAACTATGGTTTATTACTTTTAGAACACACGCACACCCCCACACACACATATATATATATATATGTATATATACACACTCACCGGCCACCTTATTAGGTACACCTGTCCAACTGCTCGTTAACACTTAATTTCTAAGCAGCCAATCACATGGCGGCAACTCAGTGCATTCAGGCATGTAGACATGGTCAAGACAATCTCCTGCAGTTCAAAGCGAGCATCAGCATGGGGAAGAAAAGTGATTTGAGTGACTTTGAACGTGGCATGATTGTTGGTGCCAGAAGGGCTGGTCTGAGTATTTCAGAAACTGCTGATCTACTGGGATTTTCACGCACAACCATCTCTGGGGTTTACAGAGAATGGTCCGAAAAAGAAAAAACATCCAGTGAGCGGCAGTTCTGTGGGCGGAAATGCCTTGTTGATGCCAGAGGTCAGAGGAGAATGGCCAGACTGGTTCGAGCTGATAGAAGGGCAACAGTGACTCAAATAACCACCCGTTACAACCAAGGTGGGCAGAAGAGCATCTCTGAACTCACAGTACGTCGAACTTTGAGGCAGATGCAGAAGACCACACCAGGTGCCACTCCTTTCAGCTAAGAACAGGAAACTGAGGCTACAATTTGCACAAGCTCATCGAAATTGGACAATAGAAGATTGGAAAACCGTTGCCTGGTCTGATGAGTCTCGATTTCTGCTGCGACATTCTGATGGTAGGGTCAGAATTTGGCGTCTACAACATGAAAGCATGGATCCATCCTGCCTTGTATCAACGGTTCAGGCTGGTGGTGGTGGTGTCATGGTGTGGGGAATATTTTCTTGGCACTCTTTGAGCCTCTTGGTACCAATTGAGCATTGCTGCAATGCCACAGCCTACCTGAGTATTGTTGCTGACCATGTCCATCCCTTTATGACCACAATGTACCCAACTTCTGATGGCTACTTTCAGCAGGATAATGCGCCATGTCATAAAGCTGGAATCATCTCAGACTGGTTTCTGGAACATGACAATGAGTTCACTGTACTCAAATGGCCTCCACAGTCACCAGATCTCAATCCAATAGAGCATCTTTGGGATGTGGTGGAACGGGAGATTCGCATCATGGATGTGCAGCCGACAAATCTGCGGCAACTGTGTGATGCCATCATGTCAATATGGACCAAACTCCCTGAGGAATGCTTCCAGCACCTTGTTGAATCTATGCCACCAAGAATTGAGGCAGTTCTGAAGGCAAAAGTTAAACGGATTTCAGAGAGAGATTTTGCTTACAGCATTCAGCCTATACTGTTCATCTAAATAATTTTTAGAGTATTCAATATTACATCCAAAATGTTTCTTTTCTTGTTTGTTTTAATGCATTAAATTAAATTTAAATTTGATTAAATGTTTTGTGATTCTTTCAACCCTGTTACAGTGTGAGCCACCCTGTTACAATGTGTTCAACCCTGTTACTTGATACATTTTCAGACTTTTTGTGATAATAATAAAAAATTTGAGATAAATGCTAGCTGAACTGTCTGTAAAGTTCAGAGGACAAAAGAGAAAATATATGAAAACTTAATGTGATGTTTACATTAAAGTATATTTTTGTGATTAATGAAGACTGTAGGTATATAAAGAGGCCATATCATACCTGACAGTCATAAATGATTATTTACAATGAAAAAAATCTACTTACAATTAGTTATTTTATATAAGGGACAAGTGATTACTAAGGCACTGGAAGAATTAGTTTGAATATGTTTTGGGATTGTACCCACACAGAAACTCAATTGTCCCGTTACAGGGTTGAATTTAAAACAACATATGTGACAAAAAAATTTAGAATAATCTTTGGGATTGCATGCCTAAGGTGGGAAAACATATTTTCTCAGAGGTTAAAATAGTCCAAAATCAGACACCATGATCAAAAGCAACATTTTTTTGTGACATTTTTTTCAGTAATCACAAGATCAAAAGTGCACCGAATTCAGAGAATCACCCTAATTTGTGTGCAGTAGTAATCCCTAAAACTGTGTGAAAATTGTCATCTGTAAAGAATGACCTGTGCTTGGGCTTTTTCAGGTTCATTAATAATCTTAATAATACCCTTTATTTGACCCTTTATGACTAAAACATGGTTTGATGAGCAGACTGACACCTCAGTAGTTCAGGGCAGATGCATCTAGAAGCCTGTAGCCTATTTTCCTGAATTTACTGCAATGCAAAAATACAGATAAATGTCAGAGATATATACTGAGCAATATACTCAAGCATTTATTTTATTTGTCTAAGCGTCAAAATGGTATCCCTTGTTTTTGCAACACGATAACCTTGATAACCCTCCTCTCTATCTCTATAAATGCTATTATAGCCATCAATGATAAATTCTAAGCTAGGTTTTAACCATGTTTCTTGAACACATATGTCAGGTTTTATTTTGAGTTTATGTATAAATCCTTTTCATTCTTGACCATTTGCTACCAAGCTTCTAGCATTCCATTGTAGCATTGCCTCCATTTACAAATGTTGGAGTGGATTATTTTGGACCTGTTGAAATCAAGCAAGGCAGAAAACAATGCAAACGATATGGTGTGATATTCACCTGTATGACGAGCAGAGCAATACACTTGGAAGTAGCAAACTCCCTCGAAACAGATGCCTGCATTAATGCAATACGTCGTTTTATCAGCAGAAGGGGTCAAGCTGTTCACATCAGGTCGGACAATGGGACAAATTTTGTTGGAGCCGAACGGGAGTTGAGGCAAGCTCTCGCTTCATTGGATAATAAACGGATTCAAGATGCTCTTACGCCATCTGGAGTTGAATGGAGTTTCAATCCACCAGCAGGATCCCATCATGGTGGAGTCTGGGAACGTATGATACGCCTTGTTAGGCGCATCCTCAACTCCGTTTTAAGACAGCAACGATTGGATGACGATGGACTTCATACTGTTATGTGTGAAATAGAGGCCATATTGAATGATCGTCCAATAACAAGGCTATCAGATGAGCCAAATGACTTGGAACCTCTCACACCAAATCATCTACTGCTACTAAAAGGAAAACCTGCCTTACCACCTGGGCTGTTTGAACCGTCAGATATGTATGTGAAGCGCCGTTGGAGACAAGTTCAATACATCTCAGATTTATTTTGGAAACGCTGGATCAAGGAGTATTTGCCCCTATTGCAAGAAAGACAGAAGTGGAATCAACAGAAGCAAAATTTGAAATCTGGAGATGTCGTCGTCATCATGGATTCATC